TCCTTCACTTCCTCCGCTTTCTCCACTTCCTCCGCTTCCTCACCTCCTCCTCCTCATCTTCCTCCTCCTCCCGCTCCCCCTCCCGCTCCACTTCCAGGTTCTCCTGCCATTCCCACTCTTCCAGCTCCCACCCCCGCTCCCGCCCTCCCTGCCACTCTCTCTCCTCCTCGTCCCCCGCTCCTCTTTTTCCTCCCCCCACTTCTCCTCTATTCCTTGCTGCGATCTCCTCTTCCCTCTATCCTCCTCCTCCTCCTCAATCCTCCTCCGCTTTATCCGCTTCATCACCTCCTCCTCCTCATCGTCCTCTTCCTCCCGTTACCAATCCTCCTCTTCCTGGTCCTCCTCCTGCCATTCCCTCTCCTCTCCTCACCGTCCTGCTCCCGCTCCTCCTTCCACTCCCCCTGCTCCTCCTCCCGCTACTCCTTTCTCCAGTCACCTCTTGCCTCCATCCTCCTCTTCTCCCCTTCCCTCCTCCTGTCGTATGCCTGATCATCGTCGTCATTACATTGATCGTCGTTTTCCACCATCCACGTCAGACTCCCCCTCTCGTGTCATTGTCCTTTTCAACCTCCTCCTCCTCCTCCGCTCCCGCCTCCCTCCGTCATATTCCAATCTCTCATCCATTCACATTTCGTCGAATGATTGGGCTTGGCTTTTGGGAGAGATGGTCGAGGTGAGAAATTGGAGGAGGAGGAGGGGGGGAGAGGGAGGAAGAGAAGTGGAAGGCCGAGGGAAGAGGAGGACGAGGAGGAGGAGGAGGAGGAGTGTAAGGTCGACATTCAGTTGCAGTTGGGGCTTGATGGATTAGTCGACCCCGGATTGTCCGTGAGATAACGGGCATGAAACCTGTTATTCTTTGTTTTCAATAAAAGGCGACGGCCTTGAGATATTGCCTTTGCGCCGACCAGCTGTATCATCTGATTCCATTGGAATTCGAACTCAAATCCGCATTTGAACAATTAATGGGAAACCATTTTTGTTTTTCCTGGATCTATTGGTCCTCCTCTCTCATGCTCTCCTCCAATTTTAATTTTGGAAATTCCCTTCCAAGAGACTCACTACACTTTTCTTTTTCTCTTTGGGAGGCCTTCATCTGCATATTTACTTGCTGCCCTCCCCGCCTGCCTCTCCTCACGCCCCTCTTCCGTGCCGCAGCTTTGCTGTGGCAGGTGTACTTGTTAATCTAAAAGGGGGTACCGCTTAATATATCTATCCGATTTCGCCAGGATTTGAACTCATGACCCGTTCCATCACATGTCTGCGAGTGTACCTTTCGGCCTCATGGGCTGGGTGCGATGAGTGCTATGTAGCTTTTTGACGGCAAAAAAGGAACCAGACTTAAGCTCCCCAGGATAAAATGGAGTAACGCTTATGCACGACCGAAGAAGAACAAGGAATGACCTCCTACATCCCACCGAATCAATTTGACATCATCTCCATCCCTCCAGCTGCGGCCGGTGTCAAATACAACAGCAACAGTCGACACTGCACCACCATAGCCTCGTTGGTGCTGACGTTTACGGTTTAGGGATTGGGGTTTAACCCCTAGCAGGAAGAGAGAGGGAAAGGGAACACGAGAGAGAGAGAGAGAGAGAGAGAGAGAGAGAGAGAGAGAGAGAGAGAGAGAGAGAGAGAGAGAGAGAGAGAGAGAGAGAGAGAG